TGTGTGTGTGTGTGTGTGTGTGTGTGTGTGTGTGTGTCCCAATCCAGGATCACAGCACCAGGGCAGGCCTGAAGCATACCTCGACATGTGTTACCTCTTTGTAATATTGACTTTGTTATAGCTATACGAGTGGGAGAGTGGAGCCAAGAGCCCGGGCCTTGCAGTAGTGGGGCCCCTGAGTTCACTAGAAAACAAATACCCCAACGAGCCGTGAAAATAGAAAACACAGTACCACAATAGCGATCTATAAAAACAGATTCAAGTAAACTATAAAATGTCCCTCACTCCTGCCGCTGACCTTTTACATTTTCACTCTCTAAATTAAGAATATTATTTGTCTGATTCCATTTTTGCAGCGTGCTGCTTTTAAAGCCGTGGGATTTGGCTACTGAGTGAGTCCTGGCCTTGTCGTCTGAGCATATGTACTGGACCAACTGTAAAAGTCAAAATTCCTTTTTCTCTAAAGCCTCGACTTACTGTATAATTTCATTACCAATACCAAACTGCTTCTAGGCTCATGCAAACATGCTGTCACGATATCTGAATCTGTCATTTTTTTAATTGAATAATTAACAATGATCACTGCAACATGGCTCTTAGTCAATTTATACAAAATAAGCCTCTGAATTCCTAGTGAAAAATAATGATAATAATTGTAAGAAACCCTCAGATTTCAGATGACACAAATACAACCAAGATAAAGGAAAATCACATATGCTGTTTATTTGATTGCTTTGCAGAAATAAAAGATTGATTATCATTTTCTTGCTCCTGCGAGTGTGAATCCCATCTTGTCTCTTTCCCCAGTGATGACTTTGCGTATACATTTGAATAATGAAGGCAAGTCATTTGAATATTCCCTCTGTATTTAAAAAAAAGGGTTGTTTTTACACGATGCAGCAATATTAGCCATGTTAATTGGGCTCTTTGGACTTTCCCAATAGAAAGGCTAAATTAATTACTTATGTCGACAGAATGTCAGACACGCCGATCTAATAACTACAACTGTTTCCAACAGTGTTTTTGTCTTTGTGTGTGTGTGATTGTGAATGCACTCAAAAACACTCTGAGCGTTCACTAGCCTGAGTTAGATCTAATGAACGAGATGGGAACAAAATGCTTTGACATCCTCTCCATGTTTCATGGGTGGCTCTAGAGAGCCCTTCTCCAATATTCATCCCCTCTTCTCATACTAATCAGCCACTACAGTATTGACTGTTTGTGCTTGCAAAGTGACTCATGTTAGTGTGTGTCTGCGTTGTGCAAACACACTCACACACTCATTTTCTTATGCTAAACCGCGCCAATCCACACTCCATTTTATAATAAAACTTGTAAGAGAAAGTGAATTATTTGCAGGATGTTACCGTGGTTGTTTGTGTGTGTGAAGTGTGTAATATGTTCATTATGTGTACCCACCACCACCATTGGGGGCTTTGAAGTTCCACTTTTTTTTTTTTTAGCTTTTGGCTGTTTTTCAGTCTTGACGAAAAACTGTATCAGCGCATTTTCCTCAATTACGAATAAACATTAGACTTTAGGAGAGGAGGCGATGGGGAGACATTATTAGTATCTGTGAATGTGAGACGATCAGATGATGTGTGTGTGTGTGTCTGTGTTTGTGCACAAGGGCGCGCACATGCATTAGTACACACATACACTGGTACACACATACACGTGGAAGTGCGCAGCGAGCAAGTGCTAACAGAGAGGCCTGCTGATGCCATGTTTCAGACGACCCCTTGAAGTGGAAATGAGCTTCCTCGGTCTTATAAGTAGTCCGTTCTCACAAAGTCAGCAAACTCTGCCACCCCTCCAAAGAAGTGCAGACACCTCCCCACCTCCCCACCCAGCCCTGTGGTCAGCATGCAGGATGAATTCCCCATCATCAAGACCTAAGAAACGGATACAGGTCCACCTTATTTCATGCGCTTTTGTTCTTGTTCTATCAGGATGCAAGAGCTGCCGCTTCAGTGTCTTCAGGTGGCTTTTGTCCTGACTTTCAACGCCATGCAGCTCACAATGTCAGGTACTGTAGGTTAAACCAAATTCACGGTGTATAAGCACAGCTAGCTCAACCTGGCAAAACAAAAGAACTCAAACTGTTGGTCTTAGTAATTTCCTTTCGATGCATATTTACATTTTCCAGCTGCATTTCCTCACAGTATCTTTGAACAGAGTTGCCATTTTTAGTTGGCAAAAAAAAATTACATTTTCAGTATTATTACATATATATATATATAAGTATTCTTTTTTTTAAACGATCTATTGATTGTTTTATTTCTAAAATAACAAAAAAAAAAGTCAGATACCAAACCAAACTGAAAGGGATGTCTTAAAAAGCATTATTATGTCTGATGATCAACAGTCGAAAATCCAAAAGATTCAAAAAATTTGGATTTCAGAAACTGTAACCAGAATATGTTTGGTATTAAATTACCCAAATTCTCATAGATTATTTTCTGTTGATTGACTTATCAATAATCAGCCCATTTTTCCATCACTGTCTGCAGCCCAACTCCCTTGACAGATTCCTTTAGACTCACTGAGTCGTTACAGGAGCCATCCATTTAATCCAGGCTTTAAACATGGTATACTGTATTGTTTATGATCATTTTTATTTAATGGGAAGATGGGCTCCGTCTGGAAATAATTTTTTATGATATTGATTTCACGAGTGTGTCTGTACTTGTATATTTTGTATATCTACTCTTATTATTACTATCATCATTACGGTGTGTGAATGCATTCATCTGATGTAGTGTGCACGCATGCACGCTGCTGTTTGAACCTGTGCGAGCACCTGAGGGTCCATCCCCAGCCGTCCTCGGAGCAGCGAGCGACAGCTGTACAGTGATGCTGTAGCGATAGGCATCATCGGCTTGCTAGAGACTAATTGGTCCACAGCGCTCCTCTGAGTGGCCTCGCTAATTAATTAGAAAGGCAGTGGAGCTGAAATTTTTAATCAGGACACCAGGCTCTTCAGCAAGCAGGAAAAAAAGACACATCACCCCATCATTCCATGTAATCCACCTGACACTGATCTCCCATGTTGTCATGTGAAATGTGTTGTGTGTTTAGGTATTCGTATGATCTGGCCAGGGAATAAGAAATACATTTATTACAGGGCTTGTTAGATCATTTTAATTCTGAGAATTTCAAAAACTCTAGGTGTCCTACTACAGTATGCATATGTTGTATTCGGTTTGGACCCAAGAGAAGGATGTAAACATGGTCTTTTTCTCCGTGTGTTTGTGTATCACATGTACGTATCATGATTTCCACTGATGTAAAATATGTACCGACTGGTCATTATTTGTAGTGGCACAATGTAGTATTTCTTTCCTTTTTTCCCTATTTTTGTTGCTTTTTTTTATATAATTCCTGCATCACCTTGAAAATCAAATATTTTTCCTTCTTCTCCCTGTCTGGACTTAAAAAACTAAAGTAGTCACTCAAACCAACACCCACTGTAAAGAAACTGTAGTAATCACAAGCTTGTTTAAAAAAAAAAGATCCACTGGTTATGTGTTTCTTACGGCAAAAAGGGGAAGATTAATCCGAGGGACGATGTTTTTGTGCCATTTTAGGGCCACACTTGTGTCCGGAAGCTGCACACAACACACCACAGTGATTTGTGGTGAAGGGCCAGAGTCTGGGACGAATCAGACGGAGACCCAAAGACAAGAGGCGTGCTAAAACGAAAGCTACGCCGGTCAGCCACTTCACAGAGGACGAGGGAAACAACATGTGTTCATCATTGTACTACTGGGATGACAAACTACCACCACAGACTACAGTTACACAATAAAGTGTATGGACATGAAACAGGAAATTCTCATCCAACCCACAGATAACAAGTCTACTGTGGTAGAGTGAATGAGAAATGAAAATTGGCCAGCAAACTTTGGAGGGGAAAGTTTCTGAAATGCACACGCACGCACACACCTTTACCTCGGGTGGTGACATTAGCTTTGTGTGGTGTGCTAATCAGTCAGACGCTCTTATCAGCCTGTTGCTTTGGCCAAAATAAACACACACCGCCTTTTTATTGCTTTGTTTTCACAGGTCATTAGGGGAAGGAGAGAAGACGCATTGATTAGTTTTCCAGACCACTGGATTATTGTTGTGTTATGACTATCATCATTAAGTTTCATTAAGGATGTGGTTGTTCTTGCTTCCAGAAAATGAAGACATTGCAGGAAGAGGCGAGTTGGTTGGAGAACAGACGGCACGCCACACTGATTTAGAAGGTACGGAAAGTCAGAAAGTACAATGGTTCATTTATGTGAGAAGCCTGTTTGAAGCAGTGAGTTGTCAGTTACCCACACCTGATTTTAAGAACTCTTACCATTGTATTTGCCCCATCAACCATATTGTTCAGGCTAATCTAAAACACCAAGCTTCTGTACTACATTCCTAGTTTATTTGAGGTGCAACAAAGCTATTAAAAATAAAAACTTAATGAAGCAGCATCAGTCCTCAGCCAGCTTTTGCTCTGGAGCTACACATATGCTCCCAAAGCAAGGAGGGAACGGGGCTCTGTCGCCAGACTAATTAGCATGTGTTAGCTAGTTAGTGAGAGGGCGGCCCTCTGTGATGTGTACTGAAGTGAAGTAAAACGCCGGGGCAAGGACTGTACTAATGGCCCACTTCCTCCCCATGGGGACCCTTCCTGCAGCGCCGCACGTGCTGGCATCAGTGCAGCCCCGGGCAACCACAGGGCCGCCACAGCGCCGGGGCCAGAAGTGGGCACAGACGAAGACGCCTGGCCTGGGGTTGCCATCATTTTCATGCAGCGCGAAGCTCTCTGGGTGTGATGTTCAGCGACGTAACAGCAGGTGACAACGACTAACACACATATGCACACAGGCATACTGAGAGTGACGTGCAGGCTAACGGATTCATCAGCCTATGAAATAGTTCAGACAGCCGGG